TTGAGGTTTCGATTTGTGGGTATTGTAATGGATTAATTGCTTTGGTTTGTAGAAATGTTGATGATAATCGATTTGTATCCTTGTTGTTGGTGATTTGGCTTCTTAGTTTTTGGCAGCCACCAAATCCCGACCACCCATAAATCCCCTTCTAATTCCGACCACTCTAAAAACCCTAGCCACCACCAAATTTCGCACTCCTAAAACCCTAACCACCACCTAATTCCGACCACCTCCCTAACCCACACACCAAATTCCGGCCCCTCCTTAGTCACACACGAAATTCCGACTAAGCGAGGTAGTTGATTTCGTTGCTGGTTGGTTTACACGAAAGATCGGGGAAGATGAAGAAGAAACGTCAAAAAGGTGGGCCCTACTAACGAATTCGTGGACGGAATCCGTTAGTTGGTGGTAAAATCGATTTTTTGGAAATTTTGTTGGTGGTAAAGTAAATCTTTTTTTTTTGGAGGTGGTAAATTCAATTAAGTGGTTATTTGAAGGTGGTAAAAGTGAAAATACCCTTAAACATATATATATAGGTATGTTTTTTATCAAACACAAACACATCTTTTTCAAACACTAGCATGTTCTTTTTCAAAAACTATGTTCTTTTTTTTTTTCCATGTTCTTTAAAATATATCTAAAGTTCTTTCCGGGTGCACCATGCGCATGGTGCACCCGGGTGCACTATACTATTTTCACCTAAAATCTTAACAAAACTTTTTTTCGACGCGCAAAATAAGAAAAAAAAATTAGTTAGCTAACCATTAATGAAACTACTTAACGTCACGGGCATGGTATGTTAAAAAAAATTGTAACTGACGGTACTATATGTAATATAAAAAAACAGTGGGCATAACTTAGAAAAATCACTTATACAAGGACACAATGTAAAAAAAAAAAGAAAAAAAAAAAACCCAAAATAATTATTTTATATATCCATATTGTAGGAATTAAAACATTAAAAAAAAAAAAAAAAAAAAAAAAAAAAAAAAAAAAAAAAACTCTAACACATAGAATAGAGATATGAGCGATGAAACAAATATTAAAATATTCTAATTGTCTAACATGCATAAGCATTTCATCATATAGGTGTATTTTAAAAATATGGATAAGTCGCAAGTGTGCATGAAACATCCATTTAGATCATGTGACAGTCAATATTTTCTTTATTCATTCATTTAATCTCCCTTCTTCATTCTATTATGATAACACTAATTTTAATTTGTCAAACTTGAAGTTTGACATTAATACCACTTGAAAAGATCGAAGCAAATGAGTAGAAAAATAATACATTGTCCAAACAAATATTTTTAATTAATTAGCTAAGGATTGGAAAGAGTTATCTATAATTAATTAAAGTTTTATAATAGTCGACTATTCTTTGGATTCACGTGAGACAATTCTTCTAATCACATGCAATTGATTAGGAAATGGGTAAGAGAGAATTAGAGAAGGTAAGACTGATCAAACACCACTTATAAAATGAATGATGCTTTGATAATGTCATTCTGATGCACAATTAAACAACTTGTTAATAAACACGTAATTCCTTCCAAAAATTAGAAATAAATTTATTAATAACTTTGCAATTGATTTATCTCATATACATAAATAAATTTGTGATATATAAAATATTAAATTTTACCTTTTTATTCTTTGAGCTAATAAATCTTAACCTTATTTTTTTTTATTTTTTAAATGAGTTCAACATTTATAATGATTATAATCGCTACAATAATCACCACGATTGAATGTAATTTTTCGTAATGATTTTTGAGACCAACCTCAGCGATATCGAAAAACACTACTAAAGGCTATGGTAACGGTGGATATTGTATCGAATGGCTATTTGTGGGAAAGTTTTTTGTAGCAAATACAATCGATACTAAAGATTAGAATAATCTCTACGAACCCTTTATGCGTGTAACATTGAAGTTTGTGCTTCTACGTCAAGAGTGCCAAAATCAAAATTTGGTGTGGGAAATAACATTTCCCTGCGGAGTAAGAGTTTTATAAATTAAAATCAAGCAATCAAAGAGATAACATTGCAATAACTCATTCTGAAAAATCAAGCAAGCTCTATATATATATGACAACATAGGAGATTTACACATTCAAATAATGCACATTATATTTCCAACCTTACAATAACTTTAAATATCTAAGAGTAAAAATTAAATCTAAAAAAAATGATATTATGAAAGTATATACCAATACAAATCTATCAAGACCTAATATAACTACATTTTTCCTTATATATAATTCACAATTTGAGACTGAAAAAAATATAATAATAAATAAAAGTCCTTTTAAATGAAGGTCAATCAAGATATAGATTTTCTTTCTAAATTGATATTTGGAAAATAAAAAATAAAAAATTCAAAGAAGAACTATCAAGAATTAGGCCTTCACCTTATTTTTACTGAACTGAAATTATTTTTGCTGAACTGAAATTAATTTTATTGAATTGAAATTATTTTTGCTGAACTGAAATTATTTTTACTGATTCTGTATTATATTTCTTCTTTATAGCTACTGAATTTTACTGAACTGGAATTATTTTCACTGAACTGAAACTATTTTTGCTGAACTGAACTTATTATACTGAAGTGAAATTATTTTTACTTAACTGAAATTAATTTTACTGAATATTACTTTTTAAGGTGAAGTGAACAGAGCCTTAAATTACCTTAGAAAAAAAAAATGACCAATTATGTTTTTGAACCATTTTCAAATTCAATTGTAAAATGTATGAGAGTGAGTTTTAAATTTAATCATATGCAAAGTACAAATGCATTTGCAATGAATTGAGGGGAATTCCACCGGCATGAATGTTTGACTACCTTATCACATTATTAGTGGGACCAAATAAGGAGTTATGGATCTTTCTAAAGCCATGTATGTCCCTTTTCCACCTTAGATTTTTTTCCCTTCCCTTAAAATGCTGGCATATGCATGGTCTCGTCAATCTAAAAATTTCCATGGACAATTGGACCAACCCTACATTCAAGTTATCAACATACGAAGTATTTATTATAAATATACTCATGTATATAGAATATAATGTAGTTGAACTCATACTTGATGGACATTCTCCTTACCATAAAATAAAAATCATATTCAAATTTTAGGATATCTTTAGCATTTTCATTAATGTTGTTGTCATGCTGCAAGCTTATTATACAGTGCGAAACTATACTTCCTCCGTTCTATTAATATTGCAACAAGGATGAAATTGCGCATCCTAAAACACATTTTATATGCTAAATATCTATAATTGTGTAAGAGTAAAAATTATTAAAAAGTTGATATTTTGAAAGTATTTTATGAGACGAATCCAACAAGATTCCACATGACTATATTTTGCTTAACGTATAAATCAAATTATATGGTCAAACAAGAGTGATAAATAGTGCAAAAAATCCATTGGTGCAATATTAATAGAACGGAGGAAGTATAAATTTGTGGAGCTACATAAAGTTTCACAAATCAATAAGCTTCCTAAATGTAGCCATTAGGGCCGGGTGTCATACTTAGCTCATTAGCTTCTTTGTTATGGAAATTCATCCTTTGAAATTTCATGCTTGCTAATGAAAAGCTTATGCTACTATTAATATGTATGATCTTTAATAATCTTTTAGTAAAATAATACAAAGAAGATAGTTTAAAAGTATTTTTTAAAAATGTTTTTACAGCGGTTGTTTGAAATATGACTATTATATTATTTTAATGATAAATAATATGATCGGTTCATTTTTTTCACATTATAAAATGGACATATATAACTAGTCTCCTAATATCTACAATGCTAATATAATTTTTGAAAATTTTAATCCAACATAAAATAATTATTTTTCGAGAAACTAGAAAATAATTAAAAAAAATTACATAAATAAAACTAAAAATTTGATAAATAAAAAAAATGTTGATAATACTATTTTATATCAAAAATAAAATAATATAATTTATTATTTGGAGAAAAATATGTCAATTATGATTTATATATCATGAAAACATTATGGTAGTCATATTTCAAACGACTACTATAAAATTTTCATACTTTTTAACGAATATACTCAATTGCATAATTATATTCCCATTATTGCACATAAATCACAGAAAATGATCAAAGAATAATATATTTTTTTTTTTATTTCTTTTTGCTTTCAACACTTTAATTTATACATTTTTCATATATATACAATTTTAAAATGATTTGATGATTTAGTGTTAAGGAAAATAGTCATGCAATTGAAATACTCAATATATACTTTTATCATATATATATCAAATTTAGCTTTTTACTTAAAAAAGAAATGAGTGTGTTCTATTCACTTCTGATTTAATCTTGTCCTAAAATAATACGAAGTATGAACTTATCTAAACTTATCTCTAGTGCACCAAAAAATAAATAAATAAAATAAAATCTAAAGTTATCAAACCTATGAGCCCTCCGCATACCCTACGCAATATTTTCCACTTGAAAGTGAGGGGTGAATGAGATTTGAACTCATAACCTCTATGTCACGTTGTCTCAGATACCATGTTAGAGGATCATCTCAATCAAAATTTAAGTTTATGATTGAAGTCTAAAATTAGTTTGTAAACTCTATCAATTTACAATTTAATCATACATTCATTAATTCATACCCTTATGCGCAAAAGAGGAAAGCCAAAGTGAGCCAAACAATGAATATTTAATTCAAGAAATTGTATCAAGTCATAAAATGTCACATACTATACATATAAAAACAAAATTATAAAAGTTGTTCATGATTCTCATGGTTATATAAACATCACATATACGTTATGCTGATGTAATCCAAAAATATGTAAAGATTACCCAGGGAGGCAAGGAAGCTCTCTAGTAGGCCAGTTAATGGGACCCAATTCCAAGTTTCCTTCTTATTGACTAAATTAATTAATTAAATAAACTACTATACTGTTGAATCTGATTAACGAACTTCCCTTATTATAAATACATGCCTTCAAATTGTAGTTTCTATTTCATTTTCTAAGTTTAAGATATTTTAAATATAACATTTCAAGAAGAAGAAAAAATACTCCCTCGATTCTTCCCAAAAAAAGTGTCTGTTTCTCATATTTTACGGGAAAAGATGGTTGATACAGAGGTGTCCGATAATATTGTTGAAGTTCCACGTCCTGTTGTTAGGAGGTTTCAAGCTAGGCCTCAACGTGAAGGTGTTGGTGCTGTTGTACGAAGAAGCATTGGCCGGTAAGCTTATATTATCCTCTGTTTATTAGTTTTCGTGTTTTTCGACATGATTCAAGGACGGTTTGTGTAGGATCAAATGGGTTTAACTTATTTATAATTATATGTTATACCTCATATGGTCTCGAGATTAACTATCTTTGAGACTTTGACCAAGGTTACTAAAAATACAATAAATTCCGTCTGCATCATTAGCCTTTAATTTATTCGCAATGCATATATTTCGATCAACTGTTTGACCCAATGGGTGTTATGATTTTTATTTCAGGTTTGAGCTCAAGTACTTTGATCCTTTCCTATTTTTGGATGAATTCTCAGGTGAGTTATTAAAAATTCTTTGCTAATCTCCTTTATTTTTTGCTTAATTTATAATAAAGGGTTGTATTTTACTTACATTGTTAATATTTTTACTGTTATTTCTGCAGTTTCTGCTCCTGGTGGATTTCCTGATCATCCACACAGAGGTTTGTTCTCTACCATTCTATATTCAGCTTCATAATAATCAAGTAATTTTCAGATTATTTTTTGAGTAAAAAAATTATTGAATAAGATTTATATGTCATATTTATTAATAAAGCTAACAGTAAATTCTATGTTCTGTTTTTAATTACAGGATTTGAGACAGTAACCTACATGCTACAGGTAAATTTTATAATCAATCTTGTTTCATAGTACAAGTAGTATGTATTCAAATTAGGTGAAACTTCCTTCTTTCTTCTTTAAGTGAATTTTCCCATCTTAAACAAGATTTGTAACAAACTATATATTAAATTAATGACTTCAACTTGAATTTTAAGCAATGATAATGCATTTTGACCAACAAAACTACCAAAATATAAGTTTGCTTGTTGTTGCATTTTTATATTGCTATTGCATAGCTATTGTGATGACAATATGACATGCTCACATGCTTAATACTTGAAGTTAATGGTAAGTTTTAAGAAGTAAACTAAGATTTATCATAGTTGTGAGCCTATAAATTTGACCACTATTATTGGCTTATCAAATACTTCGTGTTAATACTTAGGGTAATGCTATATGTAATCTTTAGGGTTATATATAAACATTAAATACACTCTTGAAAATTGTATAAAATTAAGAATTTATGACAAAAACACGAGTAAATAAGTGTAATTAGTGTTTATATTTATATGATTTCCTAAATTTATACGATTTTCTAGTGTGTATTTAATGCTTATATGTAGCTCCAAGGGCTATGTATAGCACCTAATACTTAATATATAGAAATAAAGTACAATTAGAAATGATTAGAACGTAATAATAAATGAAAAAAAAACAATTTGTAATGAATAAGATGTGTAAGAAATCATATATCCCTCAACAATATAACAAATCAACTTAAGATTAGCTAATTCATCGATATATAACATATATATATTGGGGTGAGAACGATTTTACATAAGTTTTTACATGAAATATGAGATGTAACATTAATAATTATGCTATTTATGTATACTAAAGTTATGTTTCAAATTATTTACCATAAATGAGTATGTACGGACTCATAGGCAAAAGTTGTTTAAGTGTTAAATGGATAAAAACGTAGCATAGGTTCAATCAATATTCTTAACAAATCAGGGATATGTTAAGAAAGCGCGGGTTGACCGGTGCTAAGTACGTACATATATGTCATTAGTACTTGAAAAACATGTTTTCATACTATGCTACTTCACATGAAACAATCATAAGTGACTAATACTATCATTAGAATAAGACCAAAGACTGCACTTTCCTGGGTTTCTTTTCAATTGAAAAATATTACGTGTCTTCATTTGAGATACAAAAATCTTTCGAATATACGAAGTTGTTTCAACCACTATATTGTAAGAATTTGAGGATATATTAATTTAATTTGAATACAGCTAGATTTTGCTGTTGTTGTTGAGAAAACATGCCATCATATGCTTTAAATTTGGGAGCTAATATGATATGCACATTGCGCACCAACATTATTGCCTAGTGCTATCATGGTCCATGCTTTAACTCATAAAAAAAAGTGTGAATTTTTATTCCAAACCATTTAGATTTTCAATAGTATGTACACAAAATTAATCATTTCATGTGAATAAAACATACAATAATGTCACATAAGCTAGTGGTGATCAAGCTAACTTTAGAAAACGATTAATGTCCAATGGGTTGACTTAATTAAGTTAACACCAGAAGAGAGTTTGACCACTTACAGTCTTGATGGAGTTAATTTAACACCAATTGGTATAAATGGATATCTTTTCTCGCACTTAATCTGCAAATTGTGACAGTTAATCTCGCTCAACCACATACCGGTTAATGTTTCTCTTTTCTTATCGATTGTATGTATTTGTTGTATGTGTGTATAGGGAGCTATTACACATGAAGATTTTGCTGGACATAAAGGAACTATAAATGCTGGTGACTTGCAATGGATGACCGCTGGAAGAGGGATAGTTCACTCGGAAATGCCCGCAACACAAGGTGTTCAAAAGGGTTTGCAACTTTGGATCAACCTATCTTCTAAACACAAAATGTAAGAAACTTTCTTTTAATTGTTATATTTAATGTTTGGTTTGTAATTAATTACCACTATGATTTTGATCAAACTAACTGTCACATTATTTAGATAATTTTTAATTAAATTGTTAACAATTTGTACTTTCAATATTCTTTTTAGGGTTGAGCCGAGATATCAAGAAGTACAAAGTAAGGATGTAGTAGAAGCCGAGAAAAATGGGGTCAAAGTTCGAGTAATAGCAGGAGAAGCCCTTGGTAAAAAGTCACCAGTTTATACAAGAACACCAACTTTATACTTAGATTTTACTTTAAAGCAAGGAGCAAATCTTCAACAACCAATTCCAAAATCATGGAATGCATTTGTTTATGTCTTAGAAGGTGAGGGCATTTTTGGAAACTCAAGATCATCACCTGTAACGGCCCACCATCTTCTTCTTCTTGGGCCTGGTGATGGGCTAGTAGCTTGGAACAAGTCCACTAAACCTCTTAGGTTTATTTTAGTGGGTGGTGAGCCATTGGGTGAACCATTGGTCCAACTGGGGCCTTTTGTCATGAACACACAAGAAGAGATTGATCAAACTCTTGAAGATTTTGATAATTGTGTTAATGGATTTGAGAGAGTGAAGTTTTGGAAGTCCGAAGCAATGATTGACTGATAAAATTTATGCACTTGCTATATATCCCTATTTACTTACCTCGTCTCAATGTGCACGGGAGCTGGCATGGGAAAAAAGAAGATTGAAAAAAAAACCAGCAGATAAATGTGAGGCCTAATCCACGAGAAAAAGTTAAAGAAAAAAGCTTTTTTTGAAAAGAATATGGGGTAAGAAAATCGAGACACATAACCTTAAAAGGAAAATGAGAAAAGTAAAAAGATACGGTATTAAGGTTCACTTTCTTCTTTATTATGGTAGCAAACCATTTAATTTGACACATAAATTAGATCGAAAATAAGAGATTTAGTTAGAGATATCGTTACACTCTCTTACTCTTTTTCTTTTATAAGTAGACATCGATTACGAGCAGTGAAAAGTATTATTGAATTCTTTCTGGTTTTGACATTAAAAAACGCAAAATAGAAAAATGTTAGTGTTTATTCAGCTTGTTAGAACATCAAATTTATAATTGTGTAATAGTGTTTCTACTATGTAATTTAATGTATTTCCCTTTAAAATTGTATCCTTTGTAATTGTTTTCCCAAAATTGGCAGCCAATAATACAATAATTAAGAAAGCATTACAAGTGGAACTATCTACGTAAAATTTCTCCTTTAGTTGGCGATTATATTGTCTTTCTTTCTCTCTTAATTTTTGCATAATAATCAAGCACTTTGCAACAATATTTTACAAAATTATGGAGTAGAAACCCAAAGTTTAACTCGTTCGATCTCATGAAATGGTCAACAAGATTATTGGTTTCAAGAAATTAAATACATAATTTAGTAGTCAATTTTAAATTATATAGGAGCTCAATACTTTTCAAGTATATTATTGACATCCTATGAATACCTCAACAACTTAGCTATAAAAATAGTCCACAAATAAAGTTTCAATATCTCAATAACATAATAATAACTTATCAAGCCCGTAAGTTCTCCAATTGCCCATAAACCCAATCCACATGTCTAGACAACTAAATATATCATCTTACATCCCATCCCCAAAAAATCATAATTATATCTACAAGTTGTTTAGATCTAATCATAATGGTCATTTCGGCTACCAATTGGTTGTTAGTGTATTGGTGATTGGGGCTACATTTAGTAAGAAGGATCGCGTGTTCGATCCCCTATAACAACAATTGAAAGGGGACTGGAACCTAACCACCCAAAACTGATCCTCGAATCCGGATTAGCCCAAAGGGTGAATTAGGTGGAACACAAAAAAAAAAAATGGTCATTTCGGCTATAAAAATCCACATATGACATCCAAAACTTTTTTTTCCAAATAAAAAGTAAGACCATTTTTTTTTCCAGTTTATTAAAATTAATTGAGATGATAAGACAAGTTTGCAAAGAACATGTTTAATAAGGGTTAATAACCTAAAAAAACCTAGCTAGGTTGTACAAGACTACAAGAACATGTATGAAAACTCATATAACATAACCCGGCTATATAATATATTAAATCAAAAAGTAGGATATGAATACGACAAATTAAGTATTATATGGATAGAGTAAGTGTTACGTTGTTATAGTTTAACTTTTATAGGTTTATCCGTCCATTTAGCTTTTCTAATTACTTCCTCAATTAGCATGCCAATAAGCTGTGTTGCAACTCATGCAAGTATTAAAAAAAAAATTAGTAAAATAAATAAAAAATAAAACATACATGTTTTTTTAAAAGATGATTTTATGATTTTTCAATAAAACTTGATAAAATTTACATTTACTCTACATATCTAAATAAGATTAAAAGAATTATTAAAATGAATATATCGAAATCAAAGTTTGTCAAAAAGATGAAATAAAAAAATAAAAATAAAAAAAAAATTCAAATGTAGTATTAGTACCCAACACCCAATAAGTACAAGTGTCATACCTCGTGTTTGATACAGACACAACGAACATTAATATAGATTCATACGAGGAGTCGTTGTCTATGTTTGGCAACGATGCCTAGAAATGAGCTGGAATTGGTAAAGTAATTGAACTTAATAATAAGGCAATGGATATAATTGATAAGGTGCTGAAATTAATAAGGTATGTGATCACATAAAATAGTTGGTATACAATAAGTTTTAATTAAAAAAAAAAAAAAATGATTTGGATGGATAGTAACAAAAATTTCAACACCTTATTTTGAGGTATAGTACTCAAATGCAAATAATATTACCAAGTAAGTCATTTTCATCACCTTAAAATTATAATTTAAGGTTCTTCCAAACAATTCTAATCATTTAAAAAAACCTTAAATTTTCCACTCTGAAATGTGTTGCCAAACATAACTCCATCTAACCCAACCAACTCAAACTCATTGCAATTGTAATAATCAAGATAAACGGAGTCAAGTAGATAAATACTATTTAGTGAAAACCACTCATAACTGAATAGAATGCACTTTAAGTCTAAATTCAATCCAAATTTCAATTTTCAAATCCAACTTTGAAAGTAAATAAAAAGGTTCTAAATCCACACTCATATAAGGTGTCTGAAATGTGTTGCCAAACATAACTAATATTGACCACCCAGCTAACCCAAGCTCATTACAATCATACTCCCTCCGTCCTTTTATTAAAGACCTGTATTCCTATTTTGGCAAATCAGAATTAAGGACATATTTCTATTTTAAGGTTATATTATTTGAGAATATTCTCCACTTTTTGATGAGTTGTCATTATTTTTTTGTACTAATAATGACTTTTTACATCAATTTCCAACACTTTTTCTCTCCCTCTATTCAATTATTCCCAACCATTTTTTTTTCCTTCTCTATCTCTCTCTAACCCCACATGCACTTATGTACTTACACCAACTTTCTTAATTTCCGTAAAAAAAAAACCTAAATAGGTTCTTAATAAACGAGCGATTTCCATGGATAAAGTGAGAAGAGAACAAAATTCCATAAATACGCTACATTTTAATAAAATTCCCGATGTACCGTCCACGTTAGCAAGTGTAATTATTAAATTTTTTTTGACAAATTTAAAACAAAACCGCTAATTGAATTAGCGGTTTCATATAATGTTAGCGGTTTTATGTAATGTAATATTGATTGGCCTGCTTGAGTAAATGGGTGAAAAAATAAACGCTAATTGAATTAGCGGTTTAGTTTAATGAACCGCTAATTCAGTTAGCGGTTTCAAGCTTTTTATTTTTTTCAAAAAAAAAATCAAGTATACAAAAGATGACGTGGACGGTATACCGGGAATTTTATTAAAATGTAGCGTATTTATGGAATTTTATTTTCTTCTAACATTATCTATTGAAATCGCTCTTAATAAAGAGACGGAGGGAGTAATAAATCAAGATAGGCGAATTCAGATAGATAAATATAGATAAGTAAAAACCACTCGTAATTGCATAAAGTGCATTAAATCTAATGTAAATCTAAATTCCAATTTTAATTCCAATTCTCCAATTCCAAATCCGACTTTGGAAGTAAACAAAACGTTTCTAAATCCACACTCATAAATGATAACTCTCAATTAAAAAACTCCCAATTCCATTACACAAAAAATAAAAAACTGACACCAAACTCCAAATTCTCCAAACACACGTCAATGGCGCAAATCTAGCAACTACCCTCTCTTCAACACCACCAAATCATCTCTTTCACCATTTTCTCTCTCCTCCCCTTCAATGGCGGGCTCACCAAAACCCCACTCACCTCACAACTACTTCACTCACAAACTCCTCACCAAAGAAACCTCCATTGCAATCCTCCTTCTCTTCTTCTTCAACTTCATCTTCTTCACTTACTACTTCCATCACTACCCTTCTCTCTCCTCCTTCGACTTCCACCACCACAGATCCCGCCATCTTCGCCTCCCTCTCTCTGACCAACCCCCACTACTTTCTCTCTCCTCAGCCGTCGCTAAACCATGGCCAATTCTCCCCTCTTACCTCCCCTGGTCCCCTCCTTCTTCTTCTCCCTCTTCCTGTGAAGGGTATTTTGGGAATGGGTTTTCGCGGACTTCTACTGTTCTTCCTCGAATTGGGTCGTCGAATTCGTCGTGGTTTCGGTGCCATTTTAGTGGGACTCTTCGGAGCTCCGTTTGTGAAGGTGGGCGGGTTAGGATGGATCCGGGTAAGATCCGGATGTCGGTTGGTGGGGAAGTGATTGAGGAGGTGATTGGAAGGTCGGATGAAGAGGAGCTTCCTGTGTTTGAAGATGGCGCGTTTCGATTGCGGCGAAACGGGGTTGGGAAGGGGAAGAAACGGGGTAAGGCGGTTTCGAAGGAGTTTCTTGATGAGTTTGTTGATGAAGGTGAGATTATGAAGCATACTATGAGAGAGTTGTTTCAGACTATGGAGTTGGTTGAGAATGAAGATGATTTTCTGTGTTCTCAGGTTAGGGTTTCTAAATATACTGTACTTTTTTTCTATTTTTAGAGATATATAATTATGCTAGTTTGATTATATTATTATTATTATTGTTGATGTGATATTGATGTTGTAGAATTCAATATACTATAGTTATGGTTGATTAGATCAATAATAGTTGATATTGAATGAAATTATGCTACATGTTCAACACTAATGTAATGTAATTCGAGTGCGAATAGAAGTTATGCTCTTGAGTGCCTTGTCAGATTGTCGATACTCCGATATGGGTATAAACGGGTTTACAATTCGATTTATATCAAATCCATGGAAAAGTTTCCAATTTAGAGTGTCTTTTCACTTGAATTTTGCTTATCTGAACTAATTGGCACTTATCCGAGCTTAGTTTTGAATTGATCATGATAGCCCTTTTAGCCATAGGCTTGATTTTGCTTGAAATTATTGAAAAAAAGGTGGGGGTGAAATTATCTTAGGATTTTGTGCCCTGATTACTAGGTCTTGCAAATTGATTTGGAATTAAGGTGGTATGGTTATTGTGTAAATGAAGCGCTGATGTCTCATTAATGTGAACTTGGGTTTCTCAGTTTATCTTTAATACGAAGTAGATAGTTTTAAAGGGAACTCAACCAGTGATTAAATGTGTGTATTCTAAAGAATTACTTACTGAGAAGTGCTACTTTGGGGGCGGGAAAAAGAAGCCTTCTACATTAGGACTAAGTGAAAGAATGAAAGAAAGGGAGACAAAAAGATCCACTGTGGTTGATGAGCTCTTTATGATCTTTCTGACTTTATTTTATCTACTACCAAGTAAGATTGAAACTTTTGAACGATTGAGGAATGGGAATACATCCTAAATCTATTTTCCTTTTGTGAATTTTCCTCACAATTATGCTTTATTTGTTTACTTGTAAGTAAGTATCTGACTGAAAGCTAAATTATATACAAGGACAGTTAGAAATTGTTGATTCACCCTCTTATTCATCTGTAGAACTTATTAATTATGGCCCTTTCTATTAACCTCTCTTTTATACATAAAATTGCAATCTTGGCGAAATGGGAGGGACTGGTATAGGCCACATGTTAGTGTAAAAAAGGGATGTTGTGTGAAGAGACGTGATGAATTCTATTAGTTAGTAGAGTGCTGTGAAACTAATCACTTCAATGTTCAAACTGTGAAACTAATCACTTCAATGTCAGATATTAGAATATTAATGTCATATATTAGAATATTATTGTCTGATATTACTCCCTCCGTGTTTTAATAAATGTTACAGTTTGACCAAACACGCATGCCGAGACACAACTTTGACCATTAATTTATCTAATCATATATAAGTAAAATTATTGGAAAATTGATATTATAAAAGTATACATTATAACGAACCTAATGATGTATTATACAATAACATTTGCTTTTTATAAATTAGTAAATTATTTAAGTCAAAACCATTATATGAATAGTGAAAAAAGCCAAACTGTAACACTTATTAAAACACGGAGAGATAGATTATTATTGGACTCACCCAATTTTTTTCGTTCACACTATATTAGTCGTTGTGATGCAACATAGCTACCTTTTTATTCCTTGAGCTTATAAATCTTAACTTATATTCTTGAACTCATCTTATGTAAACTTATTAACCTTTATTCACTCTTATCGAAATTATTAAATAAATTCTACTGTTTGGGGTTGAGCAAGTTTGGGAAAATTTTGTCCTAGTGAAATTACCCCGTATTTACTCATGGACGTTTTGTCTTTAAACCATGATTAATAAGAGCACTAACTTTCTTTCAGAAAAAAAAAAAAAATTTCTTGATCTCATCTTATGTAAACTTATTAACCTTTATTCACTCATCTTATGTAAATAGAAAGAAATACATATATATATATATATATATATATATATATATATATATATATATATATGTATCTAATTATTATTTACTATCCTAAGAGTTTAAATATATATAATCACCCAATTTCTTTTGTAAATTATGACTTCCAAATTTTAATACCTATGGTTGCTAGTCCTATAATAACTCTTGTATTTATCCTTTCTAAACATTAGTCTCCCCTATCATCATACTAGCTATCACTAACACATACATTTTCATGCATTAATGAGGAGTGTCTTTTATAGAAAAAGAAACTAAATTCTTAGGTTAATAAACAGTTAGGAAATAATTACTCTTAATTTTGATGTCCTTTTTAACGTTATTGAGATCGATGTATTTTTGTCGTACCAAAAATATAATTAAGTATACTTTTTTTTTGTGGTAAGAGAATCATAAGGGCAGGTGATAAGAATCGATCCCAGAATCCCCTAAAATCGGGAATGAAGCTTTAACCATTTGAGTTATCCGTCATTCTCAAGTATACCCTTTATGCGTGTAGCATTGAAGTTTGTGCTTCTACGTCAAGAGTGCCAAAATCAAAATTTGGTGTGGGAATACACATTTCCCTACAAAGTAAGAGTTCTATAAATTAAAATCAAGCAATCAAAGAGATAACATTGCAATAACTCATTCTAGCTAATATATCATACTTCATCCATTCTCTATATACTTCGTATATGACAATATAGGAGATTTACACATTCAAATAATGCACATTATATTTCCAACCTTACAAAAACTTTAAATATCTAAGAGTAAAAAATTAAATCTAAAAAAAAAGGTATTATGAAAGTATATACTGATACAAATCTAGCAAGACATTACATAACTACATTTTTCCTTATATATAATTCACAATTTGAGACTGGAAAAAAAAAAGGTCCTTTTAAAGGAAGGTTAATCAAGATATAGATTTTCTTTCTATATTAGTCCTTATACTTGGGAAAAAAAAAATTCATTTCAAAGAAGAACTATCAAGAATTAGATCACCTTAGAAAAAAAATAATTGACCAATTATATTTTTGAACCGTTTTCAAATTCAATTGTAAAAAGGAAAAAAAAAAATGAGAGTGAGTTTTAATTTTAATCATATGCAAAGTATAAATACATTTGCAATGAATTGAGGGGAATTCCAAAGGCATGAATGTTTGACTACCTTATCATCACATTATTAGTGGGACCAATTGAGGAGTTATGGATCTTTCTAAAGCCATGTATGTGCCTTTTCCACCTTAGATTTTTTCCCCTTCCCTTAAAATGCTGGCATATGCATGGTCTCATCAATCAAAATTTCCATGGACCAACCCTACATCAAGTTATCAACATACGAAGTATTTATTATAATTTAAACTCATGTATCCGAGCTTAGTTTTGAATTGATCATGATAGCCCTTTTAGCCATAGGCTTGATTTTGCTTGAAATTATTGAAAAAAAGGTGGGGTGAATAAATCCTAACAGTCATACATGTGTTAGAGCTTAGTTTGAATTGGTCATGGTACTCTTAATCAGGCATAGACTTAATTTTGCCTGAAACTATGAAAATAAGGTGTGGAGAATAGAGCCTTACACGCAGACATGTGTCTGAGTCCGAATATCCGAGTATCTTAGATTTTGTGCCCTGATTACTAGGTTTTGCAAATTGATTTGGAATTAAGGTTGTATGTGGTATGGTTATTGTGTAAATGAAGTGCTGATGTCTCATTAATGTGAACTTGGGTTTCTCAGTTTATCTTTAATAAGAAGTAGATAGTCTTAAAGGGAACTCAACCAGTGGTTAAATGTGCGTATTCTAAAGAATTACTTACTGAGAAGTGCCACTTTGGGGGCGGGGAAGAGAAGCCTTCTATATAGGGACTAAGTGAAAGAATGAAAGAGGAGGGAGACAAAAAGATCCACTGTGGTTGATGAGCTCTTTATGATCTTTCTGACTTTATTTTATCTACTACCAAGTAAGATTGGAACTTTTGGGAGATTGATATATGGGAATGCATCCTAAATCTATTTTTCTTTTGTGAAAGAAAAACCTTTTTCCTCACAATTATGCTCCATTTGTTTACTTGTAAGTAAGTGTCTGACTGAAAGCTAAATTATATACAAGGACTGTTAGACATTGTTGATTCACCCTCTTATTCATCTGTAGAAATTTTAATTTATGGCCCTTTCTATTAACTTCTCTTCTATACAAAAAAATTGCAATCTTGGCGAAATGGGAGGGATTTGGGAGGGACTGGTATAGGCCACACTTTAGTGTAAAAAAGGGATGTTGTCTGAAGAGACGTTGAATTCTGTTAGTTAGTAGAGTGCTGTGAAACTAATCACTTCAACGTTCAAACTGTGATCTAAAACTCTTCCTACTTTATTTATTGTAATTTGGTTTTCAGCTTTCCTTACCCTTTGGTTATGTGACATAATATCTTGTGCTTGCAGTGGATTGAGGAGCCAACATTATTGCTGACGCGGTTTGAGTATGCTAATGTTTTTCACACATATACTGATTGGTATAGTGCATACGTTAGCTCTAGAGTAACTGGGTTGCCAACACGGCCGCATGTGGTTTTTGTTGATGGCCACAGCAAGGTAAGCGAGTCTTATTACTTTTCATTTTCCCACCTGTATCATTTTTTCTTGGCATGCTCTGTAGGTATATGTATATAGAAACTGTGAGCTTGTTCTTTCACTGTCACTGCACCTGTCATTAGAGAAGCCTGAAAGGAAAGCTAGTATCTTTAAGAGCATAGGCTGCGAATAATGAGACGTGTTTTTTTTTTCTTATGTTCTTGGTCATGATTCACAAGTCATAATCAATGGTTAAATTTAATTTCGAGAATAACGAACAAGACAAATCATGAAACAGATCAAAAGTCACATAATATGGGCTAATTCAGTGTAAGTGGAGATCACCCATCACTAATCAAGTAGTGGAAACCACCAAATATCTCTTATCAATCAATGGTTCTTACTCTTATCAGTGATCACTCAGCCCGCACAATTTTCTGTATATTGTATTGTAAAACTCCCTTTCTCTACTTAGATATGAAAGAATGTTTGTTATCTCTCACAAGATATTTAGATTCAGGGTTACTTTGGAATAATGACCCATGCCCACTCTATAAAGAGCATAGAGTCTGCTCCTACTCCAAGTAGGATATATTCTAGACTCATCCTAATCTAGATCTAGAATACAACAAGCATTAGGAATCTATTAAACTAATATTTATCTTCATCAAACAGTTAAAAATTATGAGGAAATAATGCATACAAAGAATCCTAAACAAATTGGAATAAATATTTACAACTAAGCTAAACATTGAACATAGAAAATCTTGCGGCACAGCAGTACACGATTGTGTGCCATGACTCGCAGTCATGTGCTGAGAATACATGTGCATGGTCATATGCTGGACACTAAGCCACGGCCAACAGCACACAGTTGTGTGCCATGTCCCACACTGTCTTTACTATAATAGCTTCCTGACAAACCAACCCAGGATCACGTTTGAATTTTACATAAATGTAGTAGAAATAAAAGGAAGAAAAAAGAGATTTTGATCGGCACTACAGAAATTAAAGGATAGTCATCAAGCTCTCCAGTGGCCTGATTCACTCCCTAGAGCTAAACAAAGCTAATGTGATTCTTCAATTTTCTGGATGCCTTTCTCTTTGCCTAATCTCCTTTATTTATGGCACTTTCTCAGTCACATTTACCTCTACAAATCGTCCATCTTCCTTCTCAAAGATACTACTATCAGAATTATATTAGATTACATGATGCTCCTCCCTTCTTCTAGCATTTCTTGAGTTGGATTTGTTAGGCCTGTAAATTTATTAGAAAGTACTTGTTTAAAAAATGGAAAACCATATCATTCATCATAGTCTTGATTGGAAAAAATTCTGGAGACTTAAGTTTTCTTGTTTGCATTTGTCTTCTAGTTGAGGACTTGTTTCTGCATTGCTTCCAAATGATGCTTGACATTTGAAAGCCAACATACTTAGATTTAACACGTCATTATTTTTTTTTCCAGACACAATTGGAAGAAACGTGGGAAGCACTTTTCTCAAGTATCAGATTTGCTAAAAACTTTACTGGTCCTGTGTGCTTTCGTCATGCTGTTTTTGTACCTTTGGGGTACGAAACAGCCTGGTTTAAGGGTCTGAGTCAGCATATTGATTGCCGCGGGGCTTCTGCAAAAGCCCTGTGGGCACACCCTGATGGTCGCAAAACTGCACGACTATCAGAGTTTGGGGAGATGATTAAGGCAGCATTTGACTTTCCTGTGGAAATCCCCAAAAGACCGAAGTCAACCTCAGAACATAATGTACTTTTCGTTCGACGTGAAGATTATTTGGCACATCCACGTCATGGTGGTAAAGTTGAATCCAGGCTCAGAAATGAACAAGAAGTGTTTGATTCATTGAAAACATGGGCTTCTAATTATTCTCGATGTAATGTAAACCTCATAAATGGGTTGTTTGCTCACATGTCTATGAGAGAGCAAATCCGAGCTATCGAGGATGCATCAGTAATTATTGGAGCTCATGGGGCGGGTCTAACTCATGTAGTATCAGCATTACCACAAACTGTGATTCTTGAAATTATTAGCAGCCAGTTTCGGCGCCCCCATTTCCAATTGATCTCTCAGTGGAAAGGTTTGGATTACCATGCCATTAATCTCTCTGGAGATTCTGCTAATCCAGCTGAAGTTGTTAAAGAGCTTAAAAAAATCATGAAAAGCATTGGTTGCTGAAGCTCTGTATATTGGTATCACAATTCTTTTCTGCATAGCTAAGAAAATATGAATGGTCTGCCATGATGGATCTGGAGTTTCCTCTTAAGGCGTTAGATGTGAATTTCCATATGCTATTTCTAGGTGTTAGGATGGATATTAAAGGAATATATTCAGGTTTGAAGAATTTTGTTCTTGGTGGCTGACGAGTCAAGGATGCGGCTTCTTGAATATTTTTAATGGATTGAGTTGTTTTTCTGTGTGTTCTTCCTCAGGCAGTTCTATGCAAGGTAGTTTAGGACTTTAGGAGTAACATAATTTGACCAGTTTGTACTCCATTCATATTACCAATTTCACCTCTGGTTGCAGGTAGGCCTTTGTATACTTTGTCCCTAACATTTGTGTACTTTAAATTTATGGTACTCTATGTACAGTTATAATATCAATACGGTGGATGATCCACTTGAATGAATGTCAATTACCTCAAGGTTTGTTTCTCAGTGCGTGATTTCTCCTCGTCTTTGATACTTGACTTTTGTTACTTGGAACTTTTCTTCTGCTTGCATTAAGCACCTAAGATGCTAGGAATAACAAGAGGCCGAGCATGATATGAGCTTTTGATTGGGGAACAAACGTATTCTCATGTCTTGTACCTTATATAACCTGTCGAATCTAGACCGTACAGCGAATATCTTTAGCAATGTGAAAAGCACATCTGAAGTCCTTTTTACATGGGTTCTAAAGTTTCAGTGTGTGGCAGACAGTGAATACAGCGACCTACAATGCAAACATTACCATGCATTCTAGAGTCTTCCTGGTTAATTTTAACTTGTGAAGAAGTTTGGAGCGAATTCGTCCGATGGTGGCCACACCGAAACACTTTGTGAGGTGATGATTTTTCTCACAGGTATTCTGCAAGCTGCTCCATGCAAATATAGATAAGGTGGGCTTCAGCAGGAGTTGTTTCATTTTAAGAAGATGAAAATGAAATCTCAGTGGGGTTGCTAAATATCTATATCTGAATACTGAATAGAGTTCATAATTTTATCTTTCCTTTTTTCTTGGTAGGGCATAGAGTAGGCTTGATTTGGACTGAAGCATATAGTGGACATAGATCTGAATGTCTACTGACAGCATGTAAAGTACCAACAGTTTGTTGCTCATCAATTTTCTTGATGAAATTACTGTTCTTTTTAAGAATCAGAAACTTCTTTACCTTTAATTTGGTAATTTTTTTGTCAAATGTACTGCATTTTTTTTAACAAATGCTTAAAATCATACGTGCTTAATTAGAGGTGTTGACGGTTTCATTTTGTGAAAAGTAGAACTTCCAATTTTCTGATTTTTGTGAATTACTTGATGAACGGTATACCTCGCTATAGGTGTACCTGGAAACAATCTAAGGATAGATGTATGTATGTAGGGGTGATGTTACTGGAAAACTGAGTCTCACATGATATTCTTGGACTTTAAAAGCAAAATTTTGTTGTCATTAGCTCTGTAATTGTTCCAAGTTTCCAACCTAACAGCAACTAGCCTATATTAACCCCATATGATATAATTGAAACTACATAGCTAACTTACTTGTTGGACCATCTTATCTACTAGATACAAGTATGAGTCATATGACATTGGTTGATGTACTTTATGAGTTTTTGGAGAAGTGGTTAGTTGTTTAGATATGCTAGACTTCCAACTTCAAGAAAGCAAAAGGGACCCTAAATCGAGTTTAACATATTTTAATTTTAAATGGACAGAGGGAGTATGTTACAATTATCTTTGGTCTTACACTCTTATCTACTAGATTGTCAAATACAAACCACTCAACTGTATGAACTATCAAACCTGCCCTAAGTACATATGCATTTGTGACTTGTTTGTAAAATTGGCATTTATTAACTCCTACAATTTCCTAACCAAAAGTTTTAATCACCAAGTAGTATTTAATCTAGTGGTAAAGATTGTATCTTACAACTGAGGTAGTGGGATAACTTGAACTCTTTCCTAAAAAAAAAAAAAAATTGTTGTGAATCAATCTCCATTAGAGGCAACTAGGTTAGAATTCTCTTGGATCAGGTTAACCTATGAGAGGTTTGGTTTGATAGGATGTCTTCTTAAGGAGCTAAAAAAACACTTTAATCATGTCATCGTTATTGGCTAATTTATAGTACACCCGTAGCACTCTTTTATTTATTTATTTATTTATTATTTTTGGAAACGAGCACTCTTTTATTATTATTATTATTATTATTATTATTATTATATTGTTGATAATCATTGTATTATTATTAAGTTAATATTTATGACATTATTGTAAATTTAATTTTTTAAAATATTGTTAAATCTTTTTTTTTAAACGGTAAACTACGAGAAGGGTTCCCCCTCCTATCACAGGAATGGGAAGCTGTGAGGAATCAAACCCCATCACTTGGGGGAGGGGGAGGGGGAGATGGAGGGACTAACCATCCATCCATTTCCTCATTTCTCTATAGTTTAATCTTGTTAGCAACTTTGTTTTTTTTTTGATAAAAAATAAAATATGACTTGGTATTTTTAGGAAAAATGATTTTTGATTAAACAAAAAAAAAAAAAAAAGGTATAGTGGCAAAATCATGGTACTTTTATGAGATTTATGGGCTATAGAAAAACAAAGCTCCGGTCTTTTTCATTGATAAAGTCCTTTATGTCATTGTTCACCCAACATATACGCATTTTATAAAAATAACAATTTGTAATACTGTTTCAAATTAAAATTTCCAACTTCCAAACACATGACATTTGTCTGCTCTAATGCCAACTTTTTATTAATTAGCACCATTAGAATTTAGAAGTAGTTGTTTCTTCATATGAATAATCCCAACAGTAGATTTGATCAAAAACATATTTGTCAAGAATTACGAGTAGATGATTTATCAGTTCTTCCATGGTTTGCTTGTGTCGAAGGAGAGTATAACCACTTACTAGTACGTGATGTAAATCTAGTTAAATTTTATTTCAAAATCAGTTTGCAATTAATGGGGTTATTTATAAGGATATGGTTTTTTTTCACCTTGACTTAATTTATTAGATCTGATTTGAGCTAAATTAGCTCTGAAATTTATATGATGTTTACACTTCATTGAACATTATCTATAAACTATTACTAGAACCTGTCGTCATCATTGTCCACATGTCACTCACATATTAAATTTTTTTTCCGGCCTAAATGCAAGGATGATGTCATCTTTGTATTTTTATTTATTTATTTTCTAGATTAGTTTCCGTGCGTTGCACGGTGGTGATAAGTAATTAATCCAAATCCTTTTTTTTAATGGTTATTTTTTTATTCTACATCATAATATTACTATGTTATTGAAAATATATTAAAATGATGGTTAGACAAAATATATTTAATATTGCATTATCTATTGAGCTTATACGTTTAGAGTGAAAGTTAAAGACACAGTATCTATATCTAATAAATATTGTTGTACTGTATTAAGAATATCCAAAATTAGTATGGAGTATGTTTCGGGGTTTTCTGATGTCCTGCGGGAGAGTTACAATTCCGAGACTGGAACCGGACGTCTGTACCTGCAAAATAACGGAGACTCTTGTGAGCTCCGCCTCCAACGGTCAAGTTAGTACCTGATTAAGGAGTAATTAATGCGGAAATTAAAGTGATTTGGTCTCTCTAGGGGAGAGTGATTAACGTAGGTAATCTGCTTTGTTAGCGAGATCAGCCGGTTATTACTGTGTGTAATTAATGTGTTTTTTCCGTAATGTTTCTGTGTTCTTTTTGTGTCATCCCCCTTAATGAGGATTAAGGGAGGTATTTATAACCTTGGGAAACGTGCCCATCCTAGGTTTAGGTAAACCTAGGGCCGATTGGGCTTCCCTCGGAAGTTGGGCCTGGGTGGCCGGTTTCTCCATTAGGCATGGAGTATGCCACATGTCTTGACATAACAGGTCCAAGGTGGACGAATAAGCGCGTGCCACGTGGGAAGCCCTGGCTGTTCCAACTGGGGGACACTTGGCAGGACCTGATTGGTCCACGTGGCGCATTCCGATTGGTGGGAGCAAAATCCCTTAATCATTTGCCCCTCACAGGTGGCACGTGATTGGTCACGTGTTACCTGTGACAGGTGTCGCACTGTAACAGGCGACGGCCTGCTACAGGTGTCAGTCGGTGAAAGGACGAGAGATTTTCCCGCCCAAATTTTGAATTCTGAAAGTGACCCTTCGCCTTCTCACTTCGCCTATATAAGGGAGAGTTGTCTTGAGTCATTTTCACACTTTGAGAACTTTTTGAGAACATTCGGACCCCTGAACTTGCTCTGACATTTTGGACCTTTTCTTCCTACCACCTGTTCTGACAAGCCGACTGCACCGGATTTCCAGAACTTCATCAACCGTCACTCGTTCAGGTAACTCAGTTCTCTTACTCTTAATTTTCTTTTTATTTTCTGAAATGGCACCACGGAAGCACACGACACGACCTAGGTTAGTGATCAGCCGGTCACCAGGGACGGCTGAATCTAGGACTAGGAGTGTCGCCTGCCCTTTTCCGGACCCATCTTTGCCCTTTATACAAAGTCCGACTGTATCTGTGTCTATGCAGAGCAGGATGGCCAGAACGAAAAAGACAGCTAGGATCTCAAATTCAGACGGCTCCTCCCACAGGGTGCCGCTTAGTGAAACATCTGACAAGGCGCCAGATGTGGAAGTGAAACAAGGCGGCCTGGATGCCGGCAATTCTGTGGGGGGAGTCATAGTGACCCCTTCCCATTTAACAGTTAACAAATCTGCTCCTTTTCAAAGAGAGGAGGCGGGCCCCTCCGGGAGAGGGGAGGAGTCGTCCTCTTCAGACTTGTCGGAGGACGATTCCGAGTCAAGCTCTTCTGGCCATGCTTCTTTGGGTACAGAAGAGAAAAACAGCCGCCTGCAAGAGGCGAGACTTTCTCACGCAGTTGAGAAGGGGGACAATTGGGCGGAACCATCCGCCTCTTACCGAGAGCTAAATACCCCCTACTACTGCACGGTACCTCGGGGCCGAATCACAGCCATGCAAGAGAGAGTGTAGAGCTTTATTGCAAACCACACCATGGGCCCCGACTTTCTAGTGTTTGTGCCGGATCCAGAAGACACAGTCGTCTGGCCGGCTGGTTCCAGTTATGAAAGCTCCTGCTTTGGCTGCTACGAGGCGTCCATCAAGGCAGGGCTTCGCTTCCCATTACATCCGGCTGTTCAGCGGATTTTGGATGGGTATGAGTTGGGGTTATGGCAGTTAGCCCCAAACTCCTGGGTCAACGTACTCGGCTATGTGGCCGGGTGCGAACTGCACGGGGTGGAGCCGAGCTTCGAGGCTTTCGCCCATATGAACTATCTCAGCCGGACCCCCAAGACAGGCGGTACCGGCTGGTATCAATTGACAAGCCACAGGGGCTACCTCATGACAAGAGGTAAAGCAAACAAGTGGAAGGACTGGCGGAGCACCTTCCTCATCATTGAGAGTTCTGAC